TGGATAACTGGTAAGGTCTTATAGCGTTCATTGCTGCTTCACACAATAACAGCAATCACATTCCCCTCTCACAATCACCGACAGAGGCTTTTCCTTGCAGCACACTCTCCAGTAGACTTCTTGTCCAGGCCTTCTCTCACACTCTCGCCATAATGTTCTATACTGTTGGTAGCAAATTTTAACTTCTTGAAAAGCCAATCCAGGCTTGCCACTCACTCCAGCCTTAGTCCTGTGCACATGGACCCACCTATTGCACACTGAAAGTTCTTTCTTATAGATCATTATCTGCACTCCCTTTCATAGCACTTCCCTGGTTCACTTTAGTGTTGTATTAACAACCCCCAGCTGGTTCTGCCCTATTCCTCCCCCCGATAGACCCGCCGCATCACCCTGGACACAAAAAGTCCCTTTCTATACTACATGGCCACACGGGACAAATTCTGTAAGGAGCAAACCTTCCTTTACACATTTACAGTGCTACACCTTATTTATTTAGAGTTGCATTTTATTCTTTTACAATTTTTTTTATTAAAGGTCAATAATGATATACATGGTTGTTACAGAATTTTATGCAACAAAGGTACTTGTCAAAACACCAGGGGTTTGGTTTACTAAAGGCAAATAGGCGCATCACTTTGCTAGGGAATTTTCCCTTAGTTTAGTGAATATGGTGAAACTTTACTTTGCAGAGAATACCCAGCCACGTGCTAGGAAAAAAAACCGAGGAGTATTTTTGCTTGCACGTGATTGGATGATGAAAGTCAGTAGAGCTTCACCTCATTCACTAAGTTAAGGGATAATTCCCTTGCAAAATGAACAGCCTTTTTATATTGAGGTAGGTTTGTGGGCAATTATTTTATTCTTTTAAAGTGAACCTTTCATAGGAGAATCATAGAGGCTGCCATTGCTACATTATCCTTCTAAAATGTTTCCTTCTGGTAACTGATTTAATCAATGAGCATTTTTTTAATCAACAGAGAACACACAGACCAAACTCTCACATCGTTGATAAGTGGATAAGTCCCGCAGCAATGGTGTATGGTTCTGATTCTCCAATGACACTGTCTTCACTGAATTTATATGTTCTCCAGTTTCTTCTATGTTCCAAAACACACTGGTTGGTTAATTGGCTTCCACCCAAGCTGGCTGTAGAGTATAGGGCTTTTAAAGGGGCATTGGTTTTTCAGCATATTTTAGGGCATGGAGTGGTGCGAGTTGCCTACATATTTAGTAAAGTAATAAGGAATTTGCTGGTATTATAAAGATTACATAACAGATAACACCTGAGTAATGTGAATCCAAACCTTGCTGCCCAGGTTAAACTAACTAGCAATAACAAATGATGCAACTGTAAGTTGGGGAGGGACAACAGTGATTCACATTTTTTTGCATGTGTTCTTTGCAGACTGGGAGGATTCCTTGAACGCCCTTCAGTATAAAACACATGCAGTATATTATAAAATGTATTTATAGTTAAGGCATATAATCATTACAATGACTATATATGAGAAACAAATAGAAACTTTATTATTATAATAAACTCTGTGTTACAAGCTCAAATAATACATAATATATACACCTCACATTTTCAGCAATTACACCATGGTGTGTGTAAGTATAAAGAGCGTCATTTTAAAACAAATGCAATACACATTGTCCTTAAAAAGTAGCTACATATTTACATGTATTTACAAGAATAATAAAACATTTTAAGTGCTGCTTATAGTTTAACTCCAGGCAAATAGCCAAAATACAAAGTTGAAAACATTTGTGTGAACTGTTTTAACTTCCAAAATAGATGTAATTCTTCAGCCACTTTTGCGATCTAGCAACATTAACAGAGAGCACTGCTAGGCTAGGGGCATGACATTTCTTAAGTTATTCAATAAAGCTTGGTCACCAATCCGCCCCAGCCTGTGGATGGACAATGAAGGCACAATAGCAGACTGAGGTGTGTGTTAGCTGAAATGTTATCGCAGAATAGGGATCCACAGATACCGATAGTAGTATTCGGTACTCATACTTGCCCAAACAGCTGGCTCAATGCTGATGCCGCCCGGCTTCTTGATTGGCCAGGAAGCCGGCTCCATGCTAGCGGAAGTACCGGTATCAGTATTCGGTGAGTACCGATGGGTAAATATTGGTACTCGTGCTCGATACCGGAAAAAACGGTATCGGTGCATCCCTACTGCAGGAATAACCATACTACCTGACTTCCATAATTTTGCGCTGCTGAACTCCTCAGGCCCCGATTCTTAATCTGTATGGGTGATGTGTATAAGGCACAAAGTGAGAAGTCCTTGTTCTAGAAATTGTTTATAAGTTTTATGCAACAGGGGCACATGGACCAATTCAATGCTCAATTGATTTGCTTAATCCATTAAGTATTTCTGGCAACATTTCTCTCTATAGGAGCAGTCACTTCCACTGTAAATTATACATTTGTATCTGCTACTTAAATAAAACAAAAAAAACAAAAAGGCCTGCAACCACCTGGAGCTTTTTATGTCCCCTTTAAAATCCACTCCTGTGTCCCAAAGTCAGCAGACTTATGCCTGCTATCAGGTAACAGCACAGAGCCCTGCTGCAGTCAGGAGGATCTCAATAATATTGTCAGGATCCACCCCGGCTTCAAAATTGACAGATGGCTACGCCTCTCCGCACACAAGTGTGAGCTAGAGCAAGATGCACCCGCTCCTCCCCTTTCTGTAGCGCCAGTGAGCGTTAGAGAAGCAAAGAGGGGAATCCCTGTGGGGGACAGTGAATGACAGTCACTGTGCTCTACTAGGAGAAGAGAGAAGAGGGGGAAAGCTGACTGGACAGCAGATACATCTCACTCAACACTCCTTTAAAAAATGACTTCTTACTGACCTATGTAGAAGCCGTCACAGTGGAGCAATTAATTCTCAAAGTTTACTTCAGTAGCATTATGGTTGCCTAAGTCATTCTGCAAACAGCTCAGCTTGCCCTGATCCCATCCCCTCCCAGAAGTAACTAAGGAGCCTTTCAGCCTTATAATCTCTAATGTAAACAGGTGTCCCAGGAGGTTGAGCTGAGTTGTGAGAAAATTACTTGTACATCAATGCTTCGGTTGTAAACTTTGAAAATCAATTTTTCCACAGTGCCTGCAGCTAGAGTGGTTGATGAGGGCTTCATTTGAGAGCTTATTTACTGCTTGCTATGAATAAGTAAAGAATTCAATGTCCATATTCTGGCTACAGGTTCACTGTACAGCAAACCTGTACTGAGAGAAATACAAGGGCTGCCATTGCAGCACTAGTTGACTGGCTGTCTCTGGTATCAAAGCTTCCTGAGATACTGACCCAGAACAGACATGCAGATTAAAAGCAGATTAAAATATTAAAGCCATTGAATCAGAGTGACAGGCAGGTAGCTGGGGAAATCAGCAATGACAGGGACCATGATCTCTTAATACAGGTTTCCTTAAACATTAAGCAGGCCATTTACAAAGCTGGGAGGATGAGCTGTTCCTTTGATAGTAATTCTAACCTTGAAAAATCCATTGTATAAGCAGCACACATCCTCTGTTTAGTTTATTCTTTTCAGACATTCCTTAGTTTGTGAATTATAACAGTAACTGATATATAAACTTTCTGCATCATTATATAAATACCCTTTACACTCACAGTGAACAATAAAAAAGAATCTTAACATCTATTTCCACCCAACCAGTCAAATTGTTTTTGTCTGATTTTGGTACCCTGTGGTTTAGCGATATTTTCTAGTACATATTGCACAATTGAGGAATAGCCATTCATTTTAAAGATGATTTTTACAAGAATGTCAGTGCTCCTTTTTTCCACATGTGGACACACTACCAGTTGCCATTGACAAGCAGGCCGTTTTGAACATCTTTCATCATCTCAGAGGCAAAGAGTTCCCACTCTAGTCTAATTGAATTGTAAATAGGGATGTCCCGATGCCACTTTTTCAGGCCCAAGTACAAGTACATCCCCTCATGTACTCGCCGATACCAATATAAAATGGCTTAACGCATGCCCATTTAAAGTGAGCCTGTTCCTATTTTATTGAGAATAAAGAAGGTATTCCTTCCAAAAAAATAATTAATACTTACCATTTCCCATTACTGTGACATTGAACTCTGTTGCATTGAAGAAAGAAGCATGCTAGCTTTCTTCTTGGTTTTTTGGATGCTTGGTTTTCTGCTGCCCTCTGTGGTTCCTTTCACCACCCGCTATGTCACTACTATGTCCTGCAATGATGTAGGGGATGGTGGAGGAAGCCACGCATTAAATGATAGCATTGAGCACTCCTGGAAGTCTTGAATGCGCAACCTTTCTCAGCAAGCCAGTTCCTTCAATGCAGAGGAGTTTGGTGGCATGAGCAACAAGACAGGTAAGTAATAAATTTTCTTAACAGGGATGTATTCTTTTGTTTTGCTTTTTTCTAGAAAGCAGCAGGGTTGCTTTAAGTTTTGGATGATGTTTGTCCAGGAAAAAGTAAACATTTCACATTAAAAAGGGGCTTCTATATGTTACTCCCCCAATTCTAAGATTCCTATGGCACAATTTCTAAGAAAGTTTAAAGAAACCTCATGAAGAACTGATGAGCCATGTTTAATTTCAGAAGTTGCAAAATTAATCTGCAGCATCTGTTTTAAATTCTGTTCAGATATGCCATAGCCCAATGTAAACTGCTGCTGATAATAAGTGTAGCACACCCTGATGTATACATTTTGCAGACACCTTTGACCTGAGAGGTTGCAAATCTAATAAACCGGTGTAAAATTATTTAAAACACTATTAATCTCTCTTGAACTGGTAAAAAAATTGTTTTTCTTCAAGCAAGGCTGTGTTCAGTTATCAAACCTGAACAGCGCTGCTTTTCATCCAGGGCGCCCTCTAAGTCATCCACTTTTTTTCCTGAGTGTTTTATAGAGTGTAAGTAGACATTAGCTTAAGTATTAAGATTGGCAACCTCATTGGCAGTAGCACAGGGTGACAGAATGATGCTTAATATAGAAAGATCCTCAGCTTGTTGATGAACGGTCAAAACCATTAGCTCTCCTTGGTGGATATATACACGAAGCGGAGTGCTTTTCTTCATCACCTGAGTCCAGAGTTAAAAAACTATGGCGGTGATCGGTCACAACAAAGCTTGTGTTTAACTTTCAGCTGTCACGAGATGTAAACCTAAGGTCCAGAATAGAAATCGTCTTCACATTTTCCATTTGGTTTAAAGAACGTAGAGCTATTCCACGGGAGGAGACGTTAGAGGGGTTTCCAACATAGAAATAGGACATATCTCCTCCTTCCTGGGCTCATTGTATACAGTCCTGCCATTCTTTAGCCATTGCTGTAAGGAAAAGAAAGGTAGTACTGTTAACAGGAACAGATAATAAAAATGTAAAATAAATCATAAAAAAAGCAGTATACAAGTTGGGTAACCATGTTTGTGTATTTGTTTAAACAGATTTTAGTACATGACAGCCTTCTGGTTGTGGACTGGGTCTTGTAAGGTCTCCCTGATTGCCAGTCAGTGCTTCCAATTCTCAAATCATTCATTATCACACGCAGATATTTTTTGTATAGAAATCTCTGCACAACAGATTCTGAAGGGTTAAAGAAAAGTATAACTTTGCTCACATTGAGGACATTTGCTCACTACTAACTAATAATGGTGAGACATCCAACTGCCTTTGGCTAGCCTTTTGCTCCACATTCATGATCATTATATGTCTCACCCAACAGTCTATATCAGTTGATTGGTTTGTTCAGCTTTATTGCTCTAGAAATATTTGTCCATTGGCCAGAGCTGGATGGACCAAATTAGTATTATTGCTATTATACAGGATTTATATACCACCCACAGATTTGCACAGAACTTTACAAAATGAAGGGAGACATTTATAAAAACAATTTCAATACAGGAGGGTTAGGAAGACCCTGTGATACAAAATGCATTATTTGCGAGGGATGTGCTGATGTTAGAAGTAGAGTTATTATGTAGAGCTAGGATAGGATACCCTGAAGACATGGGTTTTAAAGGATCGCCTAAAGGTGGACAGAGTAGGAGATAGGTGGACAGATGGGGGTAGGCAGTTCCAGAGGATGGGAGAGGCTCAGGAGAAGTCCTAAAAGGTGAGAATGGGAGGAGGTAAAGAAGGCGTTAGAGGGCAGGTGGTCTTAGGAGCAGCAGAGAGGATGGCTGGAGTAATATTTTATATAAAATACAATGGACCTGCCTTGTGTAATCGAAGGTGTGTGTCTGTGCTGCTAGCTTTGCGTAACAAGTTCTGGTACTTGTCTTGTAAACAACACAATATAAACTGGGTTTCCCCTTTATCGACAATAATCATTTTATAGCAAGCATTTGTTTCCATCCATCAAACAGATGTAAATTGTTTCAACAATCCGAGCTCTTCCTGTGGGAAGTGGTTAAGACATTTCCACAGCAGACAGGAAATGTGCATAGACGGAGCATAGCTTAAATCCTAACACTTATTTTCCACTGTTACTTATGCACACACAAATATGATGGATTGCATATTTAAAGGGGGAACTTCTGTCAATAGAAGAGTTACCATTACACCCACATTACATGGGAGTATGTACACGTGGTTTACAAGTGCCCATACTGAAGATTAAAAAATCGGGCTTTGATTGTTAAATGTATATGCAGTAAAGGTGTTTTCCCTCATATAATTTTTTTCTATTAAATACGATATGGATATGCTTGTTGGTATGCAAAAATACCAAACATTTTTGTAACAAATGTAAGAATACACTGAGTGGACAGATTATTATGACCACCCCATCAGTACTTTGTTGGGCCGCCTCGTGACTCCACGAGATGTTGAAAGGTGATGCGAGGAATCTGACATTGCACTGTTGCCCTTCTGTTGTCTTGTACCAGTCTTGCCACTCTCCGTTCTGCCCTAACATTGACTAGTCGCTGACGGCCACAATTTGAACGTTTAGACCCAGATTTTCAGCTGACAGTCCAGTCTTTAAAACACTTTAACAACAGCTGCTCTTGAACATTTAACAAATTCTGCTGTTTTGCTGATACTCGCTCCATGGCTCCAAGCGCCAACAATCATCCCACGTTCAAAGGCTGTTAAATCACGCTGTTTACCCATATCTTCAGAAAAAAAATCACTTCTACTGTCGTGGTAAACAACCTGCTTCCCTATTTATGATGGTCTGGCCTTCTAGCAACTTCAGCGTGAAATTATAGCTAATTATAGCTAATTTGCCTACAAACGTCAGGTGGTCATAATAATCTGGCCACTCAGTGTATACATCAGTTTTATTCATGTCTAAATAATATCACCCAGAATCCCATAGTAAAGTTACTACTATGAATCTCAACGAGATTCAGTGATTCTGGAGCTTTAAAGAAGAAGAAGTTTAAAAAAAAAAAGTAGGGCTACCCCCACACTGCATGGACTGCATTAGACGTGATGACCTCAGTGGGGCTTAGACTGCCGGAGCTTGGGGGAGAAGAGCAGCCAGGCAGGATCAAGGATGAGGTGAGTATATTTCTCTTATTTGAGCCCCTAGACCATAACAAGCAGTTAACCCTTGCAGTGGAGGGGTAGCCCCACTGCAAACGCTAACTTTTTAGATTCTCTTTAAAGGAGAACTATGAGGTGAGTGAAAATAACTCATCCTCATAGTTCGAGCCAACGTGTGACAATGAAACTTTAAACACGTCAGCTCAATAGATCGGGAAGTGAGCAAACACATACCGTCGCCCGCTCACTTCTTGATCATCTCCCTGCAGGGATTCTGCCCCTCCCCGCCCCGATCCTCTAGCGCTGCCTGTAGGAACGAACGGGGGAGGGTACAGCTGCTTCTGCCTCTAGATAGGCAGAGCAAGCTGTCACTCACGCAGCTGGGTGGATCTGGACAGTAATGTCGGGATCCGTCCCGGCTGTGGCGGTCTCAGTATACTGCGAGCTGTAGCTCGCGATATACTGAGCTTTGGGTCATGGGAGGACGCTAGTATATGTCCTCCCATGACCCTTAAGAGAACTATGGGGAAAAACACTTACCCCATAGTTCTCTTTTAAGCTTGCAACTATTGACGTATGGTGTTTTTTTTTATGGTGCTGTTTTCTAGTTTGATTGCAGACCAGAACTGTGCTGCACTTCATAAAAAATAAAATAAAAAAAATGTCTTGAGCTGAGCTCGAAGTATTGGTGAAAGTTATGTACTGTGGCTTTATTTCATTTTAAAGTGTTAGAAGGAAGTTTAAGAATTAAGGGGACTAAGAGAAAACCTAGATGCACATATAATTAAGTGTTGCAGTGCATATCGTTTTTAACAGGAGGCCATAGTTCTAAATTCTAAAGTAATTCTATAGGGCAATTGCAGATTCTGATTAAGTTTTCTTTTTCTATGGTTATTAATTTTATAATTTTTTATGCTATTAAAACTAAGGTCTATTCACTAAGCTGCCAAAAGATCTAGCCGTAGCTTTGGCCGATCCTTCGGCTAGCTTCGGCCCCAGGACCCCTACCCGGCCGCCAAGGAGAGAAACACTGCTGTTTCTTTTTTTTCTTTATTCTGACACGGAGCCGTGTCAGAATAGAAAAGTTCCATAGAACATAAACTTTGAGGGAGCCCCGCTCCAGATCTATCACGACCTCTCATGGTACACACTGCAACAGCGACGCCTTTTACAGCCACTGCTAACACTGCTACGAGATAACAATATCCCCTATCGCTGGGGATATCCTTTTAGCCTTATAGCCCGGAGAGATGGGAGAAGCGCTACCTTAAGAGTTCCAGAGGACTTACCTACTTTCTGCACCGACCTACGGTTGGGCTGTCCAGTCCTGACAGGATGGGACCCTTTACCCAAACTGGGTCCGGAACCTACCACATGGCAAAAGGTCACTCCCGGTAAGCGGAATGTCAGATTGGATGCGACTACAACCACCCCTTTCCGCAGACCACCACGTCCTAGGGAGGCTTCCACTCCGAGACGCCCACGCTGAGGCCAGTGATTCCTCCTATCTTGGAGCCCATGATCGGCAACGTTTTGTGTTTTATGGAGTGACATTGTGCAATGATGTTGTTTCCAAAGCCCCCTTTCAGAACAGTTTTGCCTCTAGACCCTGATGGGACACTAACTTTGGTTGGTCGCCTGACCGCGTCGGTCTAACTGTACCATGCAAACTTTGAGCACATGCTAAGGGAATTATCTAACATGGCCCATACAAAGGGGTTCGAGACATGTTGCTCACTGAATCTCCATATAATGGCTGTTAGGCTGCAGCTCATTAGCACTTTTCTAGAGCGGTTCCGGGACCAGACGCCTAGAAAACTGGTTCTTTTTGAAGCTACAATCTATTAGGTGATAGGAGGAGTATTTGATTGTAGTATTCCCTCACCCACCCCCCTCCGCCTTGATCACACAGTGGGAATTAATAGATATTATAGTCTTCAAAACTAATAGTTGATAACGTGTAATTACTGTTGATCTTAGGAGATGGTAATATTCCCACCAACTAGAGTTATTTTCAACATTGTTTATGCATATGCTTTAAAAGGGAGCTATTAACCTCCCATGGCTAGTCACTAAGACTGTTATATTTAACGTTGTATATTTACTTTTTAGATTGACTCTACTTTGTCTTTTTCTTTCCTACTCTACTCTGATGTACCGGCAATTCCAGGACCCAGATTTCCTCCACATTATCCGAAGCAACAGATGCCAGGTTAGTCCCCAGAACCCTTTATTCAGGGCATGGACATACCCATTAGACTTACTAAAGACACCTGCTCTTTCCTACCCAACTTGGTCCTTACGGATAAGGGGGGAAGATATGTAATACTACATGGAGACTGGCAGGGTGTACCGACTACCTTATGCAACATATACGCCCCAAATTCAGGACAGGTCCGTTTTATCACCCAAGCTTTAAATAGAATCGCCACTTTAGAACACACATTCCTTATTATCGGGGGTAATTTTAACTTACCATACTCAAATGTCATGGACCACATGGGATCTTTGGGAAAGGGGGCTCCAAAGGCCACGGAATATAACTCGCGACACTTCCGTCGCCTGTTAAGAAAGCACTCCTTATTGGATTCGTGGTGAGTACTACATCCCTCAGAGAAACGCTTCACATTCTACTCCCCGGTTCACCACACACACACTAGAATAGACTATTTCTTGGTGAATACTCCAGCCCTGAGAAATTTGAAATCGGCTGATGTGGGAGTGATTTCATGGTCGGATCATGCACCAATTGATCTGACCCTGACTTTGGAACCCACTCGGATCAAAAACTGTCAGTGGAGGCTAAATGAAAGTTTACTCAAAGATGAGATTCCTAGGCAAGACATAATGAGGGCCATTGGCTCCTACTTCGAACTGAATGACGGCACAGTCTCTCAAGTTTCAACTCTATGGGAGGCCCATAAAGCTACGATCCGAGGTCATTGCATAGCACTGGCGTCAAAAATCAAAAAAGACAGACTGGCCACCACAATTCGTTTGAAGAGGGAGATAATCACCCTAGAACAAAATTTAGCTCTGACAACTTCCAAATCACTCCTCCGAAAACTAGTCCAAACTAGAACGCGTCTGCGACACCTGTTGACACACAAGGTCGAAGCGTCAATGACTCACTTAAGGCAACGGTACTATGAAAGGGGCGACAAGGCACACACTATATTAGCCCGTAAGTTACGTGAGGAAGCCAGTGGAAGGGGGCTGACGGCAATTAGAGATGCAAGGGGCACTATGCAACATCACCCAGACATTATAGCTAACGTGTTTAGGGATTATTATACTGAACTTTACAATCTCACAGACACTGCCTTTACCCCACTTGATGCGCACTTGAAGACTCGTGTACGGGACTATTTAGCGGGGTGTGACCTGCCGAGAATTTTGAATGAGGCAATGGAAGCCTTAAACGTAGATATATTACGCCAGACGAACTTAGGAATGTCATCCGTGCATTACCCACAGGCAAATCACCAGGGCCAGACGGATACCCATACTCGTACTATAAAACATACACAGAAATCCTTCTCCCCCATATGACGAACATGTTTAATGGTTTTCTTCACGGCGCGATAATACCAACATCGTTTCTAACCTCTCACATAACGGTGTTCCCCAAACCGGATAAGGATGGTCACTGTGTGCCAATTATAGACCAATTGCCCTTCTCAATTCGGACTTCAAAATCTTTACAAAAACTTTAGCTAATCGGTTAGCCCAACTATTGCCAACACTCATACACAATGATCAAGTAGGCTTTGTGTTGAATCGCCAAACAGGGGATAACACCCGTAGACTGGTAGACCTGGTAGACATTGTAAACAAAGAGAAAAAGGAAGCGCTGTTAATCAGTCTAGACGCCGAAAAAGCCTTTGATAGGCTTAGTTGGCTATTCTTACATGCAACGCTATCCCATATGGGAATCAGGGGCCCCTTCGCCCGAGCAATCCACGCATTATACTCAACTCCCTCTGCCTCTATAAAACTGAGAGCAGCGACTTCCACACCGTTCCAGATACGCAATGGTACTAGACAGGGTTGCCCGCTGTCCTCACTGTTGTATGCTCTCTGCATTGAACCCCTTGCGGCACGGATTCGTGAGTCACCAGACATTAGGGGAATACAGATAGGAACACAACAATTTAAACTAGCATTGTTCGCAGACGATGTCATCCTTTCTTTGACGTCCCCAAAACGGTCACTGCCGAAACTACAATCGGAACTTCATAGTTATTCTATGGTGTCGGGTTATAAACTGAACTTAGGCAAAACCGAAGTCCTCCCATTGAATATATCCCCCGCTAAATTGATCTCCCTACAAACTATATTTCCCTCCAGTTGGAAAAGTGATAAAATTAAATATTTGGGAATTCTTCTTACAAAAAATATACACTCGCTTTACGCGACCAACTATAAACCAATGTTTCAAACACTACGCTTACAATTACAGAGATGGAAATCCTTGAGATTGTCATTCACGGGTAGATTGACTTCAGTCAAAATGACATTGCTACCAAAATTGTTGTATTATTTTACAACATTGCCAGTTAGAATACCAATCACCGATTTAAGATCTTTTCAAAAAGAGGTGTTAAACTTTATATGGGATGGGAAGCGACACCGGGTATCACAAAAGATACTATATGCTTCATCAGCAAAGGGAGGCCAGGCTCTGCCACACTTTATTACATATTACCATGCAGCCCAATTGAGAGTGGTGCCGGCTCTATCAAGGTTTGATCCTCCTATGAGCTGGGCGAAAATAGAAGGCCTCTGGCTTGCACCGACCCACCCCAATGCTCTACTATGGGCTGACCCAGTGCAAATACCTAGGGGCGCCATGCTTTCCTCCACAGGGCTTACGCTGGAAATATGGAATAAGTTTAAGTTAGCCAAAGGACTGACGACAGCTCGGTCCCACTGACTCCCTTTCTGCTGAATCCAAAACTACAGGCAGGGGTGTCTAAGGACTGGGTGAAGATGTGGCAATCCAGGGCCCTTTTTCACCTTAGAGACCTACTGGATAGGGTCACAAATAGGATAATGCCCTTTGAACAACTTAGGGAGAAACTAGATCTCCCTATCAGCGCCCAATACGCATATTTACAGATTAAACATTTTGCTTTGTCAATTGCTAAAACACGGTCCTTCCCCTCACGCACCCCATTTGAGACTCAATGTTTGGCGCCCCATTCCTCTAAGGGTGTGATTTCTTTTTTATATAGCATACTAAATGAAGATCCAGTGCAGGAAGAGGTAAACCTACCCTATATGCGGAAATGGGAAAGCGCTCTGGCAACCACAATCTCACCCCAGCATTGGGAACGAATATGGAGGATGGCAGCAAAGTCCTCAATTTGTTCGGTTTATAGAGAAAATCAATACAAAATAATGTACCACTGGTACCACACAACGGACTTTCTCCATACACTCAATCCAAAGCTATCCCCAAATTGCTGGAGATGTGACGGTTCTAGAGGCACCCTGTTCCACATATTCTGGACATACCCTAGCATTCAACCCTATTGGGGAGAGGTCAAACGCATTCTAGAACAGATAGTGGGTCAGCCACTCTCGGACCTTCCCATACACTACCTCCTGGGACTGCCCTTCCCTGACCTCTCAAGGGCTAATAGGAAATTGACTATGCATATCCTCACGGCAGCCCGCTGTCTCATACCACTGCAATGGAAACTCCCCCCATCTAAACTGGATCTTTTTGCTAGAATTAAAGATGTACAGGTAATGGAATACCTGACAGCACGGCTAAATGACACAGTTGAAGCCCATAAAGGGGTGTGGAGACCGTGGGATGCCTATGAGGTGAGCATGAACTGAGAGGTTTGAGGGGAGTAGACGGAGGGGGGAAACTGACACAGAAGTAAGGAACCAAGGAGAACAAGATTTGGGAGAAGCCTTGGTATGTGTTGCTCATGATGTCCATACAGACTGTTGTCCTGGAAGACGCTTACATACTTACATCCACTTTCTCTTATTTTCTTCTTTCTCTGCTATATTTTTGCATTGTTATAAAGATGTTCAGTTAATTGTTGATGCATCACATTTGAAAGGTATAAGCCAGATAGTTCAGATTAGACAAGAGAAACCAGAACAAAACTTTATTTGCTATATAGCCATGACATACAGAACGGTAGGGTGGCGGATGGGGAATATCCCGTCTTCTACGCTATAGTAAAACAACAAAATTATGTTGGTATAATGGTCTCTGGTTGAATGTTGATTAAGCTTGATACCTCAAATGATGTCATAAGTTTTGTATTCTCTATATGCAACCTTCAAAATAAAAAATGTCAATTTAAAAAAAAAACTCCAAATCCTGTATCGCTTCCCATGCTGGGAAATTGTACTGCAGAGGGAGTGTGACTTATCACCATAAAAGTACTAGTTAGAGGCTCCTGAACACTGATGAAAATAAATGTATACCTGCATAGGTGACAATAACAATCTGACAATGTTTCCCCTAATAAGCTCAGTCGGCTGTGTTTGCATATGCTTTGTAGACATTACAGTGTTGTCTGATGCATCTAGAATGTCCAGGTTGGGAATCTGTCTCTAATGTCTGTACTTATTCTGACGTGACAAAACTGTCGAAAGTCAGTTCTTCTCTGCCTACAGCATTGCTCCATAGCTACTAGAACCAGTAAAGTGTCCTTCAGCCACTGTTTCCTCTCTAGTGACTGAGATTCTGCAGAATTTTAGGCAGGGATGCAGTGACATTTATTGCAAAAAGTGACAGATGGATCTCAGTGATTTTGACACCTCACCAGCATGACATTGGCCAAAGGCAACAGGAGCTTCACCCATACACTGCAACCTGACAGGACATCAAACAATGTGAAAAGAGGCTGTATCCTGCCCAAATGCCCTGTGAAAAGCTTGATGGATGTGTCGGTAAGTGATGATATGAAACTCCAACCAAAGGAAACTATGGGCCCATTTATAATAGAGCATACCAAGGCCAGCCTATTCCTAAAATGTGGGCCACAGTATGCAGTGGTATCCTACAGAGTACTTTTTGCTTAATGAAGCAGAGACAACTATATGATTGGAAGAAAGCTGGTCATGTGACTTTGACTCGTCATGTGACCAGGCTCTCCTTCTCCCAGCTTTTTTTTTATAAAACAGTTTTACATTTATTATTATTGCACTTTACTAGCTAAGGGCTCCCCAAGCCAGAGGAGTGCAATGCACATTTGTAAAGCAGTCATTTTTCCAAAGCAGTTAAAAGGCCATACCAATACTGCTTAAATAGACCCTAAATATAATTTTGCATAGCATTCAATTGACATTAAACTCAGGAGCTTAATTTTAAAAATGCATTCAAGTACCCAAACTAGTAACAAAAATGTATCTTATTTGTGTATCACTCGGCTGTAGATCCTCAAATCATCTCTGAATTGGTGCTGACACTGTCCTTCCTTCTGGAGGGTGGCTACTTTTATTCCCCATGGTCCCTGTGTGTGTTGTAAAGTAGCCACCACTCCAAGGTCACTCCCATGATGGACTACTAAATGTGAGATTTTAGTCCATCATGGAAGTGACCTTGGAGTGGTGACTACTTCACAAAAAACTCAGGGACTATGGGGAACAAAAGTAGCCTCCAGAGGTACTTGAATGTATTTTTAAGATTTTACTCCTGAGTTTAGAGCCACTTTAACTGTTCATTAATTGTTTTTAACTGTTGTTTCCTGGAGTTTCTCTTCAATCAGCCTTTTAACACCTTCTAAAACTGCAGGGAAATATTTACCCACCTTTAAAGCAGACCTTCACTCTCCCCACCCACTTTACCTCTCTGCCCTCCTAACCCCCTCTTCTCTTGTAATTGAACAGTTACATTTTTAAACTGAACAAATAAATACCTTTTTCCCTTGGGACGCCTCCTGTCACATCTGGGATTCTCACCTACGTGTAAATTACTTTCTATTCTCCCATGCAGCAGCACATCTACCACAGAGCTACTCTATGGCAAAGGCACAGGCTGTTTCTTGCAGCTGAACCCTGATGACACGTCACGACACAGGCACGTCATCAGGGGACAACTGCAAGAACCTGGAAGAGACAGCCTGGCCCCTGATGATGTAAGTGAAGAAAATAGTGTTGCGGGACCTGCGGCGGGGGATCAGAGGACTGCAGCAGGACAGCACTGTAGGTATAAGTGTATGATTTCATGATAACACTGCAAACAAGGTTTGGAGGATTTAAAATAAAATAAGGGGGACTGAGGTTCCTCTTTATGTAGCTAAGCTTTCTGTCCTAACTGCAGGTATCTGGTCTCTGCTCTTGATTAAAGTGTTTATAACTGCAGCAAAGCTTTGCATGCCCTGTGTAGATGAGGCCATGCGATTTTGTAAAGAAACTTTACAAACACTGACTCCAGTGAGGAAAAACACTTAAATACTTTGAAAAGTTTACTATAACCAGCTGTTTCTTTCCAGGAAAAAAAATCAGGCTTGGTTTTAATCTTAGTGTAGGCTAACAATACTACTATTTGTAAACGGAACAGGATCACTTGGTAACACGCTCCACAAGGATTATATAGTTACTTTTCCCAGAACCTCCTGCCACCCAGTCTATTACTGTGTCCATAAAAAAATGCTTGGGCAAGTTTTGACTTTTACAAAGTAGAAATTTGTTCAGGACTGTCAATGCTTGGGCCCCGAGCACTGCATAGTGGGAGGTAGAGCGAGTGTCACGTGTTACCCAAGTACCAGGTTTTTGCTAAGCTGTAGCAGCAGAGGCATGCAGGAGGCATGGGCTATCAAGGTCAATGGTATTTTATGTAAGCTAGTGGTAGTACCATTATGCAGGCATATAACATTTATTTCCATATTATAGGAATGCTGAAACGTTTAGTTTAGTTAGAACTTTCACAGCGGTAACCCTAAACTGCAGGATGATTTATGTGAAAAAGCTATCCATAAAATGAATAGTCCTCTTAGGAATCATTCAAAAGTAAACCTGTTTTCTCTTAACAAAACATTTGGTCTGCAGGGCAAGTACAAGAGAGCAATTTCTAGGCAGAACAGACAGGTAACTAGCTCAGCAAAATGTCATCCATAAAGCAGAGGCAGAAAGTAGGCCCTAACTCAAAATTAAAAGGATATCAAAAGCCAAAAGTTTTTTTTTGTATCCAAAATATATTGAGGGACAGGGTATGGCTCTAGTGTTCCACATGAGAAGTAAAGTGCCCTCCACAGGCACCAAGTCTTGAAAAATAAATACTTTAAGCTAGGGATGCACCGATACCGATACAAGCATCGGCATCGGCGGCGATACCGAGTATTTGCATGAGTACTCGTACTCGTGCACATACTCCAATACATAATCTAAATCATGGTTTTGTATTGCTTTAGAAAAAATGTGACCTGTCCCTTTAAGAAAAAGTATCGGTAATTGGTATCGGCGAGTACTTGGAAAAAAGTATCGGTACCCGTACTCGGCCTTAAAAAAGTGGTATCGGTGCATCCTTACTTTAATCCAAACACAGGCTTTACATGTATTTGCCTCGGGAACAGTTAGTGCTACTTCCTCTGGGAAGAACAACCTTCTGTAGATTGAACCTTGTCATCAGCAGGCTGATAGAGGACACTTGGGAAGCCAACACACTGCACCACGGTCTGGGCATGGCTGAACGCGGTATTGATCTTGTAGCATCCTGAACATTTGATGTCCATGAAGTAAGGGTGGTGAATGGATGGATTTGAATTCCCTAATTCTAACACTTCCCTACTCTAAAGCAAAACAAATGACCAGAGTTGGGCTCTCATGTAGGAAGAATCCTTGTTTCTCTGCATAATTTGTAATTACATTTATACATGGTGGTGGTGACCATGTTAGCTTGTGACACACTTCCTGGTCGCATTTTGCTGATTTTCTTATCTCATTGCAAATCTAGTAAACTGGGGCTGGACAATAGACTCTTTTAAAGGATATCTAAGCCTAAGAACAAACATTTCATATTTTGTCATATTCTTTTAGTTGCTCTCTAAAAAGACCAAAACGCACAAAATTGTGCATTTCCCACCTTGTGGCAACAGTTTGGAGAATAAACTTTTCTGTTCCAGCACGACTGTTCCCTGAGTACTAAGCCAGGCCCCTCAAGATATGGCTTGGTGAATTTGGTGTTAAGGAGCTCAAGTGACTTTCACCCCAATTAACACCTTTGGGATAAAATGGAATGCTGACTGTGAACCAGGTCTTTTAATCCAACATCAGCGCCTGACCTCACAAAAGCTCTTTTGACTGAAAGTGAAAGAGCATAAACTTCAAATAACACACTTCAAAATCTTGTGGAAAGTTGTCTGAGATTATTATACCCACAACTTGGGCGACGGGGGGGTCAACTCTATATTAATAGCCATGGTTTTTGAATGGGTTGTCTAACAAGCTCAGGTAGGTGTGAAGGTCAGGTGTCCACAAACATCCATATGATGTATGTAGAATAGAAGTGTGTATATGAGAAAGGAGTTTATCTATAGGAAAACTGGGATAATCACTATCATATACATGGGAAACTGAAACAACTATGTGCAGAACTTCTATAGTCATAATTTTGTCTGACTTGACATGGTTTAAAAAGTTTTAAACGCAGGTTCAAGGAGCTTCCAAACCCAGATCAGGTGGGTTAGACTTCAGTTGATACACTACAGTTTTTATATTTATTTATTACAGGTATTTATATAGCGCCGACAATTTACGCAGCACTTTACATAATTGCACATTCACATCAGTCCCTACCCTCAAGGAGCTTACAATCTAAGGTCCCTATCTCAATTTTTTTTAGAGAGGAGCCAATTAACCTTCCAGCATGTCTTTGGAGTGTGGGAGGAAACCAGAGTACCCGGAGGAAACCCACGCAAGCACAGGGATAACATGCAAACTCCTTGCAGAGAGGGACCTGGCTGGGACTCGAACCAGAGACCCCAGTGCTGCAAGGCAGAAGTGCTAAACACTATGCCACTGTGCTGCCCTTTATACTTAGTACAAACATGCATTGCAAAGAGGTCACTCAATGTGACCTCTTAACTAGTAAATTAAATTACAAAAGTTATAAAAAATATATTTAATTACATATAATTATAAATTTCAATTATAAAAGTAATTTGAATAATATATTGTATAAATAATAATTTTACTGGAAATGTTTAGGAGAGCAAGCAATATATATGGTTCGACATATAGGAAAATATGCCAAACCTTGATCACCAGGATAAAATTACTGAAAGTCCAATATTTCCTGTTAATGTAAAAACAGACCTGATTCTGTAGTCCCATGAGCCATTTAAATCACCAGCTTACCCTCCAGTGCTTGCTAAATGTGCCAAAACATCGTTGTCTACGAATTATCACAATATGAGTGTGCAGAGCTTTGCAGCTGGCCATACACCTTACAATTATCTGCAGATTTTCAGTGGTCAGATGGAAAAGGTGCAACAGATTCCTCTATCTACACTTAACTGTGTGGATGGAGTAATCTACACCTGGGCCAATCTGTTGCACTTTTTCCATCTGACCACAGAAAATCTGCAGATAATTGTAAGGTGTATGGGCACCTTTAAGCAGTAAAATAATGCTTTTTTGCTCCCATGAAACTATAAGAAAAAATATGCATAACAAATATTTTTTATGTTATTGAATTATACTGCATGTCTTCTATTCGCATTCATTTATATGCTGAGTGTAGATTTACCTTCAGGGGACATTGTAAGCCTAAGAGTATCTGTATTTACCTGCAAGTCATTGGATAACACTTTTCCAGGGTCAGGAATTCGAGGAAATATTAGTATCTTTAACCTAAAGAGTATATGTAAAAAAAATATCATAACCAAGCAAAATATAATAGCTGGAACACATATTAGAAATCACAAAAACTCTTTTAAAGAGAAATAGGGAGGCCACCATCACTAACCTCCTTCTGAAAATGCTGGCTGCGTGATCAGGAAAATTGGAGTAAAGTTGCAACTACTTATCTGCATACTTATGGTTAGGTGACTTTAAGTAGAATTAAAGTCTTTCGTTTTTTGGCACATATCTAATGCTAGCAAGCAGAAGATATAATCCCCATGATTTCAAAAAATAATAAAAATTCGACAAATAGCAAATTACTTACCTGTTTCAGCACCGCTCACTCCTGGCTGAAGAACACTCGGCTCACAAATGGCAGTGAAGGAGGAAGTATGCGGGAGCATGCACAGTATAGTGGAGGGAAAAAAACACAATGGCAGTGAATGGACGCAGCCGGGAGCGTGCACGCCAGACAGACACTGTGGGACACAAGGAGTCTGCGATGGATCAGAGACCGACACCAGTGCTGGAGGGACTGTCAGAAAACGAGTGGAATGAAGAAGATGATCGCACCACAGGGTCAGCATTACAGCGAGCTTTTACAGAATGAGAAGTCAGTAATGGCATTTACCAGGTTTCTCTCAGAAATTGTATCCTTTAAAGCAAAAAATATAAGTACTTGCCATATCAATCAGTTAATCAGATATTGATTATCATAAATCTGTGAAATTACCTTTTCATGTAAATGAGCAGGAGGACTGCTGCAACAATTAGTATTGCTGGTATTAACAGAAGTAACAGGATATATGGAATTATCCCACTGTTTGTTCCTAGAAAGTAATAACAGACAAATGAGCACTCTGTAGCATTGAAAAGCACAAATACTGAACATACATTTTGACAGACAATGCTGAAACAACAACTAAAAAACAAAAGTGCTTTGTTTTTGCTTTGATGAAGGGGAAAGCCCTTCACCATCATCAGCCTAGGATCTCCCCTAGTAACAGTAAGCATGTCAGAGCTCAGTCACTGGAGGAGACGGAACACTATTGAGTGCAATGATTTTATCTATACACTTTCATTAAAGTCTAAATTGCTACACTATGCCAGTGCTCTTCTGTGCTTTGTTTTTTAGTTTATGTGACTGCTCTCTCCCTGTGCAAGGCAGGACTCTAGCAAATATTGATTTTATGTACCCATTTGTGGCGATTTCACCTGTCTGTATCTGATTTAGATTCAGATATATAGTAAATAGGTTGGAACAGACTATTCTCTGAATGACATGTACTAGAATTACAATTATTATTTTGACCTGTGCTCTACATAGTATAAGTAATGGTGGTGTTTGCAATGCTGAGAGCAGAATACACTTGTAACTGAGACATCAGAATACAACTGTAACTGAAACAGCAGAACACACCTGTAACCGAGACAGCAGAATACACCTGTAACCGAGACAGCAGAATACACCTGTAGCTGTGACAGCAGAATACACCTGTAACTGAGACAGCAGAGCACACTGTAACTGAGGCAGCAGAATACACCTGTAGCTAAGACAGCAGAAGACACCTGTAACTGAGACAGCAGAATACAACCATAGCTGAGACAGCAGAATAGATCTGTAACTGAGACAGCAGAACACACCTGTAGTTGTGACAGCAGAACACACCTGTAACTGAGACAGCAGAATACAACCGTAGCTGAGACAGCAGAATACACCTGTAACTGAGACAGCAGAATACACCTGTAACTGAGACACCAGAATACACCTGTAACTGAGACAGCAGAACACACCTGTAACTGAGACAGCAGAATACACCTGCAACTGAGACAGCAGAATACACCTGTAAGTGAGACAGCAGAATACACCTGCAACTGAGACAGCAGAATACACCTGTAACTGAGACAGCAGAATACACCTGTAACTGAGACAGCAGAATACACCTGTAACTGAGACAGCAGAATACACCTGTAACTGAGACAGCAGATTCTTGAATGGCAGAAAATATTTACTATAAGAATGTATATGCTCTGTGGCACTGCCAACCTGCAATAAACCATAGTGGTGCCATTGCTTAAGAACCATAAACATCTGTGTGGTTTAGAATGAAAAAAGAAAAACTAAGGTAAGTTTCTTATAAAGGTGTTACCTTTTGTAACCAATAAGGATCCAGCTGCTATTCAATCCGGTCACAACAATAACATGAAGACTGCCCTTCATCTTCTGGAATGGCTAATTTGCTGGCTGCCATCCTGACCCTTTTGCTTTGATACTTTGAATATATGGAGATAGTGGATACTGGCTTTTCTATGTCTTTCCTAAACTGTACATGTTCTGGGTTTGTAACTCAGAAAGGTTTGAGGTCATAGTGTCAGCATCACAGCTAGACAACTAGCATTTCTAAAAGAGCCGGCCTGAGTAGGATTTATATAGGGAGAGAGATAGAAGGCTGGACAGGAAGTAGCAGGAAGCATGGTATATTAAGCATCAGGTGAAGCAGGCAACACCCATAGCCGCTAGCGCTGTTCAACATGACCAGAGCCCATGCTTAAAGAAAAACACAGGTGCCAGCAGAACTACACCAGCAAAGGAGGTAGGCCTGTAGAAGCACAAGTAACAGATCAGCCCTGTAGCTGATTTGTAACATAACATGTATGTATAAGTACATTATATTAAAGTTTAAATGAAATCCATTATAAATTGACCTTGACACTGCTATTGCAGGTTCTGTTTATAAATAAAATCATTTATTTCCTCTTTCAACTTTACCTTGCAATGTCCACTCTTCACTCCAGTCACTCCAAAGGAAATTCATGTCATTTGATTCTGTGGCATATCGTGGTAACCTCACCCGTACTTTCACAGTATAGGTGACATCAGAATGAGCGTTGGGAATTTCTTTGCTTACACCTATAATATCCTAAAAGATAAAAACAAGGAAGCCGACAATAGTCATGTATTACAGTTAAAGCGGACCTTTACCCATATTCCCAAAATAACAACAAACACACGTTTAGAAATGTTTAGTAATGACAATCTACAAACACATACTTCTAGAGAATTGCCGGCTTTGCATTCTTTGCATACCTTATTTCTCTTTTCTTCCCCAGTCTTCTGACAGTGGCCATGTTTACTAGGGGCAGATTACTAGCTCTCTTATTACTTCCTGGATTTCTGCCACATGTGACTAGACATGTGACTAGGGCATGTGACCATGCACATACTCTCAGGGGAGGAAAATGGCTTTCCCTGAGATCTTATGAAATGACAGATGAGATTTCCCAGCAATGATCTGCTGATGACAAGGCAATCCATGTGTGCATTGCTTTGGCAAACTGAAGTCATTTTGCCCTTTCAAGGCAGGAAGTGAATGTTCTGCAAGTGTAAGTATTTCAAAATCACAGCATTTTACACCTGACATGTCTACGTTATTAATAATCAATATACATAGAAGGAGTGCATATGCATGCTTCACGTGACAGCTGATATGCAAAACCCCCTTCCTACAGCTCCCGGGATTATTAGGACCAGAAGCTGCAATTACAGATCTTACTCACAAACTATAATTTTCAGTAGATCAGTGTACAAGTTAGGTGCTTTTCAAACTGTGATTATTTTTTATATATGTATTTATTTTAATTATTATGTATTATTTAAATAATACGTATTTATACATTAATTAAATAATATTGTATTATAAGTTTAATACTGGCAATCCTAACCTGTAGGAACTAACATACCCCCATTATATGCAAAAAATGTTTGCCATTATCATAAGGAAAACACATGTGGGCCTTTAAACAATGCTTTTATGCTGATCCTTTGGCTTCACCAATTAAGGAGCCACTGATTAAAAAAACTGCTACTGATAAGGTTAACCTCTATTTAATGTCTTTCAAAAGGCACATTTCTCATACCCACCCAACAGGCTACAGTAATTAAATCTATTTTGTATCAGCAACTGCTGGAGTTAGAAGAAGCATTCACTCGGGAACTGTGCTCCCACCTACACTGCCTGCCAGGTCCCATTGGGATACAGGGAAAGCCCATAACCATTTATAACCCTAATAAAACTAGCTTGGCTTTAGGGTGTAACAGAAACAAACATGGCAGCAAACAGGCAGTAGTCCCTAAAAGGAACAGGAAGCGGTAAATGACTGCTGACCTCTGTAGTAAAGTTAAAATTTAGGCACACATTAATGCAGCTTTGTATCCATTAACAAATTATTAAATATATATATTTTTTTGAATGCAACTAGTGTAAGCACATGAATTTGACTTGGTTTCTTTCCCTTGCAATACATTGTACAGCTGCACTCTGACCGGGGCAGGAAGGAACAGGACTGGCAGCCAATGCTCCAGGTGCACCACATGCAGATGTGTTGACAAGGGACAGGCTGATAGGTGATAGCAGAGTGAGCAGAGGGATGACCTGCTGTTGCTCTTTTGCTGCCAAGTCAGCAGGCTTGCGGTAAAGAGAGGACACCATGGTGGTGTTATCTACCTGATTGCACAACACTTAGAACTGAATGGACAGAGCTGCAAATGATTTGCCAGGTAAAGCAGCTCATTTATATGTATTTCATCTGTGTATTTAGGGGTTTTCCTGGAGTTCAGCATTAATACAGCAGGGATATTCTTGTTATTAAAGAAGAACTCCAGGAAATCTTTTATTAACCCTTGCAGTGGGGCTACCCCTGCACTGCAAGGGTTAAGTTCTCATTTGTGTCTATGTTTAAAGAAAAAAAAGTTAGACTCACCCGAAGCTTAAAGCCGGCTTCTTTTTAGACCGGTCCTTCCAACGTCTCTCCCCCTCCTCTGCAGCCATCTAAGGTCCCATAAATCATCATATCTATACAGAGTGTATAGACATGAGGACGCTGAAGAAGATTCCAATGCTGCAGGGAGGAGGAGGCAGGCTGGAAGGAGTGATGTGACAGCTGGCTGGCTTGGAGCTTCTGGTGAGTATAATTTTGTTATTTTAGCACCTAGAAACAAACAAGCACTTTACCCTGGCAGAGCGGGGGTAGTCCCATTACAAGGGTTAATTAAAAAAAAATCCTGGAGTTCTTTTTTAAGTAATTTTATTTGGAGGATCCTCTTTTCTTTTTGATAAACAAGCTAGCATATGTATTTCAATCCAAAGGTTCAAGATCTTAACTTTGCAGAAATGTATTATTTTAAACATTCATTCACAAAAAGTCCCTACCTTGTAGCTGTCTTGAATATCACTGTTTGACTTTTGTACTAGGACTTCATGTAACAATTCTTTATACACTCCCATGTCATTCCAGCTGACGTTTATATTGTCATTTGAAGTGCGGTAGGCATTTTTTATGACTGGAGCTTTTAATTTTGCTAAACAAAATCAATAGTTAAAATGAATCACATGGAATACAAAATGACTTTTATGACACAGCATTGGAATTCACATAATGTTTTATTTATTTAGTAAAAGTATTTGTTTTATAACAGTACCTGCACGTACGTGCTACGGCCACTGTACATTTTAATGGAAAGCCTGTCCGCAGCCTGAAAGAATGACAAAAAGTGCTTTCCATTAAAGAAACAGAAGCTGCATACCTACAGGTGCTGTTAAGGTGCCATAGGGACAACTACCCAGCAGCAGAATTGCTATGAGAGCAGGAGAGTCACTCACCTCCTACTATGGCTGCTGCCAGGGATAGAATCATTTGATCTATAGTGTGTGGTAGTGCCCACGTATGATGCTGAGCCTCCATGAGGCTCAGAGGCTGTAAGAATGAAAAGGCCAACCAAGGACAGTTGGGGAGGAATGAGCTAGATGTACCTTGACATCCTCTAGCCAGGATCTATCTGATTTTCTGCAACATCTAATGCACAGTGTAGGAAGCTCACAGTGTAAGCTTTTTCAGTACAGTGGATGAATCACATTGGTGCAGGACTGAAGATATGGCTGAGATCGGCTTTAAAACACAACTGGGATTTTTAATGGAAGGAAGGTGACAAAGATGGTAAAACAAGGAGGGTTACTTTATAGAGGAACAAGAAGTGCTGCAAAGGAATCTATACTCTTTTTAATTATTGTTTTTTGATTTTTAAAAATGTATGTGTTTAGTAATGCAAATACGGTTTCTATGTATAGATTGTAAATTTAAATGTACAAAAACATGTACTGTATGTAATTATGTAAATAATGTTATCAATGTTTAGTAATGCAAATACGGTTTCTATGTATAGATTGTAAATTTAAATGTACAAGGGAGCAACCAAATTTGCTCATGACGTATACACACTCAGTACTTTATAATGGTTGTGCTTTACTGCTCCTTCTCACAATACAAGTCCAAGAGCTGCAAACTCATTGAAAACAATGTTCTTTCAGCCAATAATTTATCACAACAGCTGTTAGGCCTCATTCACACTGCTAAGAGCCGGGCCATAGAGATCCGTGCGGTGTGCACGACTGTATCAGGCCGCTCCCAGGAAGGACCCGCACCCGCATGGATGTGCAGCTTGGGTGAGCGTACGGCTGCACACTCCCATAGAGAAGAACAGGCTGCTGCGTACAATCACACTCAGAACCTGTCCTTCCCGGGAATGGCCCGATACAGCTGTGCACGCCGCGTGGATCTGTATGGGCCAGCTATTATCAGTGAGAGTGAGGCCTAAAACTGGAAGGTTAATAAAAGGCTGAGTTACATCCTGAGTTCTTTTTAGTCGTCCAAAGAATCTATTATATATTATATTATATTTAAGAACCTCCAATGGAGACTGGCACTGAGCCACAGAATAAGACAATGGCAATGTTCATGAAGGTCAAGGTGGGCTTCTAAGGGAGGTTTTAGCATGATGTAAGATTCCCTTTAAGAGACGTAAACAGAATTCTAGACAGTCATTCTAAATGGTCACGGTTGGTAGATAAGTATGTCAACTGTCTCCTTATGCCCCAAAGAAACATTTTTTGAGGTTGCTTGTATGACAACATCTAGAGTAACAGATATGAATGAAGAAGTTTCCCTGGCATTTTGCACAGGGCTCTGACCTGAAATGCTGCTTAGTAATATGACAGTACATAGGTGCTTTGTAACAGTGATACGTATAATGTGACATCTATTTTTATGTCTTCAGTTATACCCACCTATGTTATTGGCACTCACGTCGTAGAAGTATGGCTTGACCTTCTTTGACCAGTCTGACACCACTATTACCAGCTTGCTTAATTTAGAAAACAATTTGTCAAATTTAAACTGGCATCCATTAGGAATTTCATTGTTATAGGTATAGTTGTAGCAGGAACTCCCTGTAGATAACAATTCATGAAATCTAAAAGCAAGAGCACAATGAGAAACACGTTACACTAAAAATGACAATGTAGCATAACTAAATAAAATCCAAGATCACAAAATTATTTTGCAGCTTACCAGTCCTTTTATCTTTCTCAGTGTTGCACAAGAAAATGTGCATATATTCCAAAATAAACACCTTTTTTTTTTTTATTAGTGCATAACTTTGCCATGTTTTGCACCAGAAACATCATTTTAGTGTACTTTACATTTGACTAATATAGACTAAATTATATACTTTTTAGTCACACTAATATTTTTAAGCTAACACAACCTATCAATAGAAAAGAAAATTAATCATTACATCTTTTTTTGCGTATAGATTTCATAGAAAATATTGTTTTAAAATGATTGCCAAAAGAGAGCATAGTCCCTCATCCCCACAAAAAAACCAATGTATGTATTTGTTATCTGTACTAATGACAAAGCTATTGCTGAATAAACAGGCCCATTGTGGAAATGTAACTATTGCTCTGGCCCATAAGGAGTATACAGATACAAGAGCTGAAGTGGTTAACTTACTGTTTGGAATGTGAGAAATCCACTCCGGTACATGTTTTTTCTTCACTTGTCCTGTATGGAATGGAAACAGCATGTCACATGTACACCATATATAGAATCTTGTTAGTGCCTGTAGCTTCTTTGTGTTTAAAGTAGTATTAAACTTTCAAACTTTTTTTTTTCCATAATGAATCCAGATCAAACAAACATACATTGCCAAGCAAAGTATTTCTTTCTATTTGTGCCTAAACACTTACAGCCATCATGCTTCCAAACAGCTCCAACTCTCTCAGCTCTGCTTCTCAAAACTTCCTGCCCAATACAAGATCATAAGGGAGAGAGCAGTCTCCAGCAGCTGTCCATCTACTAGCATGGAGAAGGGAGGAGGGGGAGTGCATTGCCGTGCTGTGCCTGTGTTTGTGAAGATGCATCAAATACCTATCATTTTATTTTCTGCTTGAATGCAGAATTGTTAGTTTGTTCCCTAGTATCACAATTAAATAATTTTAAATTAAAAATACATTGAGCAGAGTTAAGGTGCCCATACACCTTACGATTATCGTACGATTTTCGTATGCGATCGACTTTTCGGCCGATAATCGTATGTGTGCATTGCAGTGTCCGACCGACAGTACTGTACAATCGTACGACTTTTGACGGTCAAGCATGTTTGAAAACTTTGCTAGATCGTACGATTGTCGTAAGGTTGCTGGCGTTTCCGTCCGTCAAAAGTCGTACGATCTACACTGTGCTTGCGCTAACGAAAATACGGCAAATCAATTACCGCATTTCGTCCAGGTGCTTTGCGTTAATTACGGCTAAATTAATCTTGCGATCATCGGGGCAGGATGGGGCTGCCGTACGAAAATCGTACGACTATTCGATCATCGGACGAAAAGTTTCGTCCGATAATCGTAAGGTGTATGGGCACCTTTAGAGGTGATGTCTCAACAATGATTTGATAATCATTGTCCAATCAACAGGTGGCAAAACAGGAGGTGTTACCGCTATGTGAATTTTAAGGGCCCATTCACACCAATGCGGTTCCATGCGAATAATGCACAGTGCAGCACAATGCACTCATTGTGTGTTACAGTGTGACAGGTACATTGTATTGCGATTAACACACGACTTTGGTGTGAACGGGCCCTGAAGGTGGATATGCACTTCCTTGTATCCTTACTCTAAGCCTGCCGTCTGAACTACAACCGCACAATTTGTGTGCACAATTGGCGCGCAGTCAGGAGTCGCCAAGGTGTGAACCGATCGCGCTGTGGGTGCCAGGTGTGTTGCAAAAAAAGGTTCTTGTACCTTTTTTTAGCGATTGCCGCGCGGATGTCACACCGAGTGTCGTGCGGTGTAGTGCAGGTGTGAATCTTGCCTTAAAAATCAAGATGGCATCACATCAAGCAGCAGGGAAAGAGATGCAAAGCACACTGGGATCCAGGATGTTGTTGGAAGTGATGGGCAGATGGAAGGCAACAACTCTAGTATGTATCCCTATTACAATGCTGATGTTATAACAGGAGAGTATAGACTGGGACATTCCAACTCCTTTAATTTGCTGTGTGTTGTAACTGCCTGGAGTTCAGCTTTGACATCAGTTTCAGAACTTTTTATAAAGAAATGAACAGCTTTAATAAATGGTTTTCTCACAAAATTGTGTATTTTGCTGGATTGCAAGAAAAGCTTGTAATACATGTTGATCGCTTTATTTTATTAACAAGAAACACAAATCACTTTATACCAACCAATAAATCAGGGTGTAGTTGACATCTGGGGGAGCTTCTCGTCCTGGCTGCCAGGTGCATTGAACATACTCCGAATAGTACCAAATGCAGCTGAGGTTCCTCACTGAAGTATTTGGATCACCTGTCAAGCAAAAGTAAGTACATACCTGTGAATGTCTACTAAAAATCTACACTACCATTTACAAAATATAAACTGATGTACTAAATTCCAGACATACCATTTCAGAAGTAGCATTTTTATTATTTTTAAGAGGAATTTTGCTGGGCATGGAAAATATATCACCCTAGTGCTTTCATAGTGAACATATGCAGTATACAGGTTATAGCATAAGCTATGAGCTCATACCCTTACTTGTATGACTGATTAGTACAGCGCAACCTATAGCTTTCTCCACACATCTTGGTAAGGGAGAATAGGCTTCCAGATCCCCCAGCAACCCATCATCAGGCCTTGGTAGATAATGAGGGGTTGTGAGTCAATTTTTTTCCCCCACATTTGGATAGGAGTGGGAAAGGATAAGAACCACTTCAGGTTTTACTCTTTTCCCTCACTCACTGTCCTGGGGGTATCTTCTCCCCAAACAGAAAGTTAGGAATTTTCCTACAGCAGCACAGACAGAAATATTGTTTTTACAATTAGTAGGGGAATGTTAGAACCTCTGTCAGCTTTTCATTGTTGTCTGTTTCCCTGTTGCAGATTTTCCCTTACTTCCTCCTCTGGTAAAAAAAATGTTGTCCCCAGAAGAAGAGATCACTCGAACAGAGACCCAGATTGCAGTACAACCCAACCGGGGTTCTATTACTTCCCCACTCTATCCAAAAACTAGAAAAAACGTTTTGGCTATAGATACACTTTAAAGAAGAACTCCAGAAAAACTTTTTATTAACCCTTGCAGTGTGGAGTTAGCTTGTTTTCGTCTAGGTGGTAAAATAACAAAGATATACTCACCTGAAGCTCCGAGCCGGCCAGCTGTCACATCACTACCTCCATGCTGTCTACTCCACTGCAGCACTGGAATCTTTCTCAGCATCCTCACGTCTAAGCACAATGTATAGACGTGATGATTTACGGGACCTTAGACCTCTCCAGAGGAGGGGGATTGAGGCAGGAAGATGTGGTCTAAGAACATGCCGGCCTGCTTTTTTTTAAACCTAGACAAAAATTAGCAGTTAACCCTTGCAGTGCGGGGATAGCCCCACTGCAAGGGTTAAGAAAATGTTTTCCTGGAGTTCTTCTTTAATTGAAAACTCTACTTTCATTAAAAAAATTAATACAACATAAATGCTTCAAATCATATTGTAATTTAATGCTATTAATATGACCTTTACATTTTAACCTTCAAAGGCTGTAATTTTCCAGAATGGTCAAAAAATGATTTCCTCCTGACAATATAGAGGCGTTCTGAACACCGTTGGTAAATACTGTAAAATGCCCCCAGATATCACATTTTCCACTTGTGTGATTGGCTCACAGCTTTTCACATTCAAAGCATTGCTTGGAATGGGAACTTCTGGTGATCTTTCTTTGCTCCGCCTCACAAGAGTTGAAGAAACTGCAGCTTCTCTTATCACAATACTGAGATTGCTGGGGTAAATATAATGAATAATGAAGGCGGATCCTCTCATTAAGAACTATTTTTGAAATATGGCAGAACAAACAACAGTGTTTTTTTGGGGGTAAGTAAGATATACATCTACAAAAATGGTTTGTATCTGTGCAATATATACATTTCAACTAGAAGGGCTTTGTGTTTCCTCAATAAAAATAAAGTTACTCTTTAAAACAATTGAAACACCCTTTACCTGTTGCCAGTAGTATAGCCAGAGATGTATTTGTACTAGTGATGTTTGTATTATTACATTCAGCTTTAACAATAAAGAGAATTTCCTTATTTAAATCAACTTTTTCAACTGGTACTGCAAAATTTGGAAGCTTCCCTCTTTCTCGTGGCTGAAAAACAGAAGATTCAAATTAGCTGACCGCCCATCTACCTGAATTGTGATGCATATGATGTACAAAATAATATATTTATATATATATATAAATGTTTTGTTTTGAAATAAATAGCACTGTAACCATACAATGCTCTCATTTTAGCCAATTTTCGGAATCGTCCGAAATTCGTTCAAGCCATGGGTGGCTTTGTTAGGAACCCCCAGTCAACAAAAGTACATTTTTCTATCAACTTTTGTCATAGGAGCCAGTCCGAAAATGTTTGATGAAACGCCTGCATTAATCGCAATCGGCACTGTTGGGGTATTCAGCAGCCTCTGGATACACGGATTTAGTCATTAACTCTGCAAGCTTGTTATCCTACTTGAGTCATACAAAAGGTGAATACAAGAGAAGTTTGTATATAAAAGTTGTTGTCTTGGTAGTAACTAAGTATGGAACTATAACTTTATGCTGTTCCTTTGTGAAAACATATATCTTCGCGTCAGGCACATAAAAGTCAATATGAACGTGAATGCAGACCTCCAATATTAAAGTAAATTCAACTGCAATGTCAAGACAGCAACAAAGTCATATAGTTCAATAAGAACCTCTTGTCCAAATGTTCAGACCAACATGCATATATAACTTGGTGGACTTAAGACCGTCGCCCAATGCTGGTTTGTAGAGAACTGAAGCTGAGACAATATATGTGTTGGTATGTTGAGATCAAAGCTGCTACTTATTATTGTCACTCTGCTCTGGATCTGGACCTGGATAGCAGGCCACTTGGGATTATCACTAATATACACAATACTCAAAATTTGCTGTTGTATGTCTACACGGTTCCAGTTCCGGCATATAAACAATGGCAAATGTATATATTTCTATGTTGTACTGCTAGACAGCTTATCCATAAATATGAACCCAAAACAC